GGTAGGTAGGTACTAGGTATGACGATCACACACAGAGAACTTAATATTCAATTTAGAAAAATAAAACCGAAGTTTAAATAATTAGTGTGTTTTATTACTGTCTGATGGTAGTTGAAACAGAAAGCCGGTTGAAACTCTAGACATACCTAATAACCACAAACAGGACTTTTATAAATTCAATTAGGAAGAGACTAACTTTTTATGATTGCCTATAAATAAATTATGTCTCACATGAACTGTGTCTTTTTATGTTTATGTATGTCCTACTCACTTATTTAGATACTTTTATTGCCCTTCAATATTTTTTTCTTCAATAATTGATTTCTCCCTTTCTGAAGCTCTATATCAAAGTAAAACGAACAAATGTGTTAGGTATGTATGAACTGAAGCTTCATAAGTTTTAATTTATACTTAATTGGATATCGAAAAACAAAAGGCAGCAGTCTGGCGGCTTTTATTTTTTGGGAGGCTCTCGAAAGCCTAAAAATATCTAAACCGGCAAGTCCATATTTCATGCGACTAAAACCCAAAAATATAAAAGATTACAACGTAAATGTGCCATAAGGGTGTTATTTACATCAAAATTGTAATCAAATAATAAAACAAGGTATGTTTGAAAAGTAAAATAATAAGAATATCTTTGACCGATTCTAAACAATCAAATTTAAATTTAAGATAACTTGCTAGTAAAACCTCAATTTTTGCGCTTGAAATTAGTTGCGTTAGTTGGTAAGTTAGCGTTTCTGTGAATTAGGCTTATAAATCACTAACCTTATAAGAAACTATTTCAGATACCCCAAAAAAGATTTTCAACAAAGTATAACAAATCCAAGTTTTACCACTAGTAGATTATATTTGAAAGTACACCAAACACTTAATAACATTACATATACACCAGCACAAATTTCCAAAAATCTAAGTTTATTTTGTCCTAGAAATCGATTCGCGGCAATTCCAAAAAAATTCAATTTTTTTCCCGCCAAAAAAAAATTTGAATCGTGCAGCTCGGTACTCGTCGCATCAGCAGGATGGAATCGATCGTCCGATGGCGGCAGGCGGCAAGATAAGCCTGATGAGCTAGTCGCAGCACGACGCGCGTCCTGAAACTGTCGACGGCGGCGTCGGGGACGGCGAAGTATCGAGACGCAAACGGCGCTGTTGGCTTTTGATACGCGCCGCAGGATGATGATAAAGGTCGCTCACAGAGGAGCTAAGATTTAATGCTAATTATTACAGCTTCTAATGTCCTAGCAGCATTTATTGTTTATCGGTCTTTGGTGTCTGATTTTGATTGATTTACAATAATTTATAGTATTCTGTGCTGTGCAGAGTGCAGGTTCAATTCTTCACCAGTACTCTAAATAAGATATTGAAACGAACGTCTCATCCTCCCTAATAACAATATAAAGGAACCCGCACACCTCTTATGGGTATTTGGTTTTCTGTCAAACTCAATAAAATTTTGATATGTGTTAGACCATGACTATCTGATAAAAAGTTCTCATGGGCCCGACCCAATCCTATGATTTGTTTTTGAGATACAGGTACTTTAATGTCCAAGAAATGTACACATTTCATATGCATTTACCATTAATACAACCTAAAAATATACCAGGTGTAATAATTTACCGCATTACCTTTAGAAATTAGGCTTTAATGAACAAGAATTATACACGACATTCACAATGATGAAAAACTAATGACAATGATAAATACAATATGATAATAATTAATACTGGTAACAAAAACCATATACAGAAGATGTCAAAAGTATCTACCACATTCTCCCCAAGAATGTGGTGGAGATTGTCTAGTTCTTGATCCACGACAGATCTGGTTTTCTAGTTGTGGCTCACAGTGAATAGATTGAGACTGGTTTATTGTCTCACTGACATTTTCTTGTTCTATGTCTCGCATTTCTTCTGTGGGAATAGGTTCCTGTAAAAAATCTACACTTTTTTCTGATTGAGTAGGCATATTTATAACATGGTTATCAGCATTATTTTCCGATTGCAGTAGACTTTCATGACCACATGGAGCTAAATGTTTTAGCGAAACCGTTGCTTCTTGTCCATTTGAAAGTCGAACTAACGCGTATTGAGGGTTAGCTTCAATGAGATCTACTTCTCCAACGAGAGGATCGTACTTTGATTGTCTGACATGCTTTTTCATATAAATTTTTCCAGAAGTTAGCCATGAAGGTATTGCTGTACATTGATCATTGATTTTCTTGACTAACAGAACACTCTTTCATGTAGAGTAGAATTAGTTGCTGCACATAAAGGAGACCTGATCGAATGCAATGCATCTTCTAGAACCGCTATCCAGTATTGAATTTTCAAATTTCTTGAACGCAAAGCTAGAGTAATCGTTTTCCAAATTATGCCATTAAACCGTTCTGTTTGACCCTTGCCTTCTGGATTCTTGGATGGTGTCGATCTGCTTGTAGCTATTCCTTTTGAATGAAGATAATTTTTAAAATCATTTGACATAAATAAAGAACCTTGATCTGTGTGAATATATCCAGGCATTCCAAAAATGTAAAATGAGCTTAGACTCCGAATCACCGTCTCAGAAGTCATCTCTTGGCATGGATAGGCGAATGGAAAGCGAGAATACTCGTCGATGATAGTGAGTATATATTTGTTCCTTGATTCAGATGATAGAGGGCCTTTGAAGTCCAGAGATATTCTCTCGAAATCCGAATTTGCTTTAATGAGTGTCCCTTTATTTTCAATAAATTTAGGTTTTAGCTCTGCACAGACTGGGCAAGACGCTGACATAATACGAATATATTCTACGGAGTAGGGCATATTTCGAGATCTGACCCAGTGGACCATTCTAGTGATTCCAGGATGACGCAAAGCTTGATGTAAATCGAATAAAGTTTTCTGGCTATTTGAACCACATATTCGAGAAAATGTATCAGCTGCTACGTTTTCTCGTCCTGATCTAAAAACAGTCCACCCCGATTTATTGGATTTGGGATGAGAATTGGGAAAAACGCTCGGAGACGTCGATTTCTGGTTTGAGGGGGAACTATTTTTCAGTTTTTTTCATTCCCGTAGCTTCAACCCCCTAGCTAGGGGGAGAACAACCCCCCAAATTTGAATATGGGAAAGGGGTCGTGCCATATCTCTTTTTAAAGGTCTTATAGAGTTCTTCATGGCCCTAAAATTTCATTTCATTATTTTCATTCGTAACGGAATGACAGCTTGTCAAAATCTTGGAAATAGACTATTGTGTCAGTAAGAGTAAAAGCGATACTTACCTCCCTCAATAAAAATACTTGAAAATGAAGTTTTTTATTATTATCATTAATGAGATGTACACGAGAATTGTAAAGTGTTGGTATTTTTACTCGTATTTTTATTAAGGAAGGTAAGTACCGCTTTTACTTCTATTAAAACAATAGTCTATTTCCAAGATTTTGACAAGCTCTCATTTCGTTAGGGATGAAAATAATAAGACAAAATTCTAGGACCATAAAGAAATCGATTGGACCTTTAAAAAGAGGTATGACACGACCGCTATTCCCTATTCAAATTTGGGGGGTTGTTCTTCCCCTAGCTAGGGGGCTGAAGCTACGGGGATGAAACAAACTGAAAAATAGTTCCCCCTAAAATCAAACATCGACGTGTCCGAGCTTTTTTCCAGATTCTCATCCCAAATCCAAAAATGCAGATTTTTGATCAGTAATCAGCTGAAAATGACGACCAATCAGAAAATGCTTCCATTTTTTATTCGCTTCGACTATGAAATAAGCTCCTTTTTCAACTGATGAATGAATTTGTTCACACTTACTTAGTGTTCTCGAGAAAAATGCAACTGGCCTTCTTGCTTGACTCAAAATGGCAGCAATGGAATGTTCTGAAGCATCAATCTCAATCTCAGCCACAAATGGAATGTTATCTTCGATTGAAGTAACAGCTGATTTTGCAATATCCAATTTAAGCTTCTCGAAATCGTTTACACAGATTTCTGACAACGCAAAAGATTTAAAAGAAACAATTCGATGAATTTTCTCTGAAAAGCAAGGTATCTACTTTGAGTAATAGGCGAACATCCCAAGAGCTCTTTTCAGAGATTGAGAGTCTTCAGGTAGTTTTCGTAGAGGTTCAAGTCCAACTGGATCAGGTATCAAAGCATTATTCTCGATCAGATATCCAAGAAGTTTCATTGATTTTAGGGAGTAAGAACTTTTCTTTTCGTTTATCGTAATATTGTATTTTCTTAAAACGAGTAAAAATTCTTTAAAATTTTTATCACGGTCTGCTTGATTTCTACCGCATATCGTAATATTATCTAACTATGCATAGATACCTTCAAGATTCTCTGATTTTATTACTCGCTGAAAACACGCAGCTCCGTTTGTCACACCAAAAGGAATTCTCCGGAACTGATATAATTTACCATCTGCCTCAAAAGCAGTATACTGCTTTCCGTCGTCACGTATGGGAACTTGATGATACGCACTTTGTAAATCTAAATTACTGAAAATCCTGAATTTCACCATAGCACGAACAATATCTTCAATATTGGGCACCCCCCGAGGAGCTGTGGAACCTGGACGTTGGTGGCGGGGCCCAGCGGCTGGCCATGTGGGTTCACAGGCTAGTCGTTGCTAAGGACAGCTCAACAAAGCCGCAGGGGCTCATACCTGGTGAGTACGAGACCTGGCATCCCCGAGGCATCCTAGCTGCATCTACACACTGCTTCAACTTGTTTGGCATCTGATCCCTTACTTTTCTCTTTCCTATAGCGATCTCCTTTGATCAACTCTTCTTTCATGCTCCTTTCAGACTATTCTCACTTTCTCTCTCTCCCAAGTCAAGGTGGAAGGCAACGTGCTGAAAATTAAATGGTCACAGGGACAAGTGTGATCCCGAACGTTTCCCCGGGGGTACCAGGCAGCACCCCCTGTATTCCGTGCCTTACCCAACCATGCGGGGCTCTGGCTGGGTGGACCTTTATTTCCCTAGCTTCTCGTGGGATCAAGTATGAGTACAAACATTGACAAAAAACCAAATCCAACTAAACAAGGCGAGGGCAAAGGCAAATTCAATGCCAAATCCAGCTACAGAGCAAACTCCCTGGACGAGATCGATAACCTGACGGAGGAAGAGTTCCATAAGGCCACTTTCTCAGGTTCATCAAGAGCAAAACTGCGCAACCTGGTCACGAAAGTCAAAAGCTACACTGAAGCTAAGCGCGCCGTGATCAGGGAAAACTTCATGAACCACGTGGAGGGAAACGACAAAGCAAAGGTAGCGACAAAGAGCGCCGAAGCCAGCATTGCCCAAAAAAGAACCAGGTCGGAGGACAGCACACCGCAAAAGAAGCAGACTAAAAAGCCAAGAGGTGGGCAGATCCCGGCTACCACGACAAGTAAGTCGTATAAGGATGCGGCGAGCGGCGAGAAAGTTGCGGTCGTCAATGAAGACTACCCGGAAGCCCAGATGACGACCGAGACGATGGAACAAATCCAAGCAGCGATCTCGGCGGCGCACGAGAATATCCCTGAAAATGGCCCACAAGTGCGTTTTGAAAAATGCAGCCGCAGGCCGGGATATTTTGAGGTCACCTGCGCAGACAAGACCAGCGCGGTGTGGCTAATGGAAACAGTGCCAACACTCAAGCCTTGGGAGGGCGCAGTGTTAAAGGCATTAACAGGCGAGGACTTGCCAAAGCCAGAGACCTGCACCGTCTTCATCCCGGACGAGAAGGGAGAAAGACTGTCCGCCGAGAGAATCCTTAAGAAGCTCTCAGTGGGAATCAGAGGCCTGAACACAAGCCTGTGGAAGTCCTGGGACGCAGTCCCAATGGACAAAGGCCAACTCTGGACCCTCTCTATGGACAAACAGTCGCTAGAGGGCCTGAAAAAACTGAACATGAGCCCCTTCTCCGGATTTGGAAGGCTGAAGTTCAGGAGGAAGCGGGAAAAGAAGCCCGAGGACAGTGTCCAGCATACCGCCGGTCCTAAGGCCAGCACATCAAAGGCCGACGCTACGGTACCGAAGGAGGAGGAACAGGAGAGCGAAACTGAGAAACCCTTCAACCAAAGAGGCACTAGTCCGCTGAAAAGACGCACAGTCTACCAGCAGAAGGACATTGCCATGGAGAAAGAGGTCCTACTAAGGAGCCGCTCTCCCAGCCCTACCTCGTAGAAATGGATAGCATAAAGGTTATCCAAATCAACCTTCACCATGCCAAGGCTGCCTCAGCCGTGCTGTGTAGAAGGTTTCAAAAAGAAGGCCTTGACATCGCCCTCGTACAGGAACCGTGGCTAAACAACGGAGCCAACAGAGGACTAAACCCACCCGGTGGTGATACAGGGTATCTACATCTACTCTGGGTGACGACACAGTAGAAGCAATAGTGGGAAGGGGCTGCCTACAGGGAGGCGTTTTATCGCCATTGTATTGGGCGGTCCTGGTCTGGCAAAAATGGCCAAGGAGAGATTCTACTGCCTTGGCTACGCGGATGATATAGTCTTGGTAGTCAGAGGCAGGCATCTAGAAGATGTCTCAGAAAAAAACTCAAAAAGCACTGAACATAGTAGATAACTGGTGTAGGGATGAAGGCTTGTCGGTTAATCCGCAAAAAACCGTAATTGTCCCGTTCACAAAGAAAAGAGTACTAAGAGGACTTTGATGTCCTAAGCTCAATGGAGCGGAAATCCCCTTCTCAAGGGCGGTCAAAATCTAGGAGTTATTTTTGACCAAAAGATTACCTGGGGTCATCACCTCAGTTGTCCTCAAGTTGTCCAGAAGGCCAAAATTTCCCTGGGGAGATGCAGAAGGCTTTGTGGAAAAAGCTGGGGACTTAATCCAAAGATGAATCTATGGTTATAAAAAATGGTGATAAGACCAATGATAACCTACGGTTCGGTTGTCTGGGATACAAAGGTCACACAGACCGTAGCAATCAGATAGCTTCGAAGTGTGCAAAGGCTAGCCTGCGTATGCATCACGGGTGCCATTAAAACATCCCCAACCGCAGCAGGTGCTGCTAAACCTCCGCCACTACATATCTACATACAGGGTGAAGTAAAGGCGGTACTATATAGACTGAAGCAAGGTTAGGATCCAATTATAAGACACCAAAGGCCCATGAGCTGGAAAATAGAGGAGGATCCAGAGGTCAACTCATTGTTCGAGATGCCCTCAGACAAAACAAAACCTATTTTCATCTTCAATAGGCACTTTCGGGTTGCCATACCAGAGAGGAAAGACTGGGAGAAAGGTCCTCCAATTAAAGCAGACCACATCTGGTACACCGCCGGCTCCAAGACCAGAAAGGGGGTCGGAGCCGGCATCTACGGGAACAAACCCAGGGTGGAAATATCTACAAGTCTCGTACAGTACGCCACGGTGTGGCACTGTGCCATACTGATAACTGAAAAGAAAGTTGGGAGTGAAAACATTGTTATTTACTCGGACAGCCAGGCAGCCCTAAAGGCAATCAGCTCCCGAAAGATCAACTCCAAGCTGGTTGGGGACTGTGTACGTGACCTAGAGGAGGTAGGCCTGTCCAACAAACTTACCATAGCCTGGGTACCAGGCCACGAGGGCCACCCAGATATACAACAAGAACTGGATAGACAGAGAGTTCCATCAGTCCCATCAAATCCTGCTCGCTCAAGTTCACAGCGGACCAACTAAGCCACAGCCGCAAGATTGTTAGGATAACGGTAGGCCAAATAACAGGGCATTGTAAACACAACAAGCACCTGGAAAGAATGAGCCTGGTAGAGGATAGCCTGTGCAGGTTCTGCCAGGAGGCGGAAGAAACTGCCGTACATGTATAGTGCCATTGCGAAGCGCTATGCAGGCTTAGGTTTGCGAGGCTTGGAGCGGAAAAGCCCAATCCGACAAGCTACATGGGGTGGCCAGTATCATGGCTCTGCAGTCCAATCAAAAGGACGAGTCTAGAGAACGCTCTCTAAGGACAGATAGGAGATACCACAATAAATCTGATAAGGTTGCAGTGGTAGAGGACGCCTCTGCGCCATCTCCATTCAAACAAATCTACAATTTTGGGCAGAGGATAAGCATCTAAATATGTAAACCTCTTAATGGTTTGAGAGTAATCGATTTTTCGTTGCCAACACCTGTGCCCGCCAAGGAGAGTTGCTTTCTTCTATGATTTTATTTAAAAGAAGGTTTCTTATTTCAATAGAAATAAAGTGTCTATCTTCTGGTGAAAATCGTCGTGACTTTGTTGCAATTGGCCTGCAGTCTGCTGATAGATTTGAAAATAATGTAGGCGGATCAGTTTTTAGGAACGCCAAACTACAAATCGATGATGGGTTGTCAATATACAAGGGAGCCTTAGAACCTCTAAAAGATAATTCAAGGGTTGAATGCTTTCTGAGAATATCATGACCTATAATGACATCAGCACATAAATCAGAAAGAACTGATAAACTTAATTTTCTGTATGTATACTCCATCATTTCTAAGTCTACAAAGCAATGACCTGATATTGGACTGTAAGGCTGTTGTGGCCATTAGTATATATTCAGTGCTTAAATGTATAGGTACATCGATAAATGAGGCAAAAGTTTTATGAATGTATATTTCAGAACTCCCTGTATCTACTAAAGCATCAGCAACGACATTGTTAAATTTAATTTTGATAAGGCATTAGATTAAACTTCCAGGTGCCGCAAAAAGAAGCCCAGAAGCTGGTATAATTGAGGCAGAAGCTTTGACTTTTCTTTTGCTTGGACATACCTTGGAGAAATTTCCACGTTTACCGCATTCAGTACCATTCCATGGACAGATATCCTCGTTAAAACCAGATTAAAACTTTTACGTTCACCACTGATTTATCAATCTGACATGATATTGACATTACCTGTGTCAATGAACTAAAATTTTGACACATCAGGGGATGTTTATATAGTGTGTGCCAATTGCAGTGATTCTTACTGTATGTACAGTCGCGGCCATTGGAATTGACACAAAATTTTGAACGCGCTTTGTATAAAGCCAAAACTGACACAATTTTGGCATTAACGGCTTGTTGAAAAAGTCAAATCGTTGATTATTTTGATGCAATGCAAGGTGCATTCAAAAATTTGTTCCAATTCCAATGGCCGCATTTCTTGGATAATAAACTACCTGTATCTCAAAAACTAGTCATGGGATTGGTTCGGACCCATGAGAACTTTTTATTAGGAAGTCAAGGTATAACACATATCAAAATATCATTGAGTTTGACAGAAAACCAAATGCCCATAAGAGGTGTGCGGGGTCCTTTCTCCTACCAATATAAAAAAATTACCAATGAGCAACTAGGTTTCAATGTAATGGTGTAGACTGATTAAACTACCCAGCAATCATGGAATTTATAATAAGATAATTTCCAAGAATCCTTGTTACCTACCTGAACTGAACCGAAATAAAAGTATCTACTATTTATAATACAATGCTATATATATAACTATCGGTGTATAACGGTCTACGTCTTCCAATTCCCGATCTCCAACCATCTCTGTCAATCCAGGCATCCTCCTCTAAGCCTCTGTCTGTCATTTCTTCGTCTACTCCACTACTTTTTGGTCTGCCGTGTCTTCTTCTTCCCCCTGGCTTCCACTCAATAATTTGCTTGGGTATTCTTGCATCTGCCATTCTTTGTACATGTCCGAACCAAATCAGCTCTTTGTCCTTTATGTTTATTACAGTGTTTTACGTCCATAATCTCCCTAATTCTCAGATTTGTTATCCTGATACCATTTTTGACCCGCTTGCCGCTCTCTTTCAAAAGACCATTTCAGTTGCTTCCAGCATTTTTGCGGTTCTGTTCTTTAGTGGCCAGACTTCTGAACTATATGTGACTATGCTTTTGACTATTGTGTTGTATGTTCTAGTTTTGTTAGTTTTGTTGATATTCTGGTCCCACAGTACACCATTTAGTAGGGATATTGCCTAACGTCCTTGTATATTCCGATCTTTAATCGCTTCGGCTAGGGTTCTTTCATTTTCATACCCAAATATTTGTACTCAGTACATTGTTTTATTTCTTGTCCGTTATTCAATTTCAGGTCGTTGTTCACCTCCTATAGTCATATATTCTGTTTTAGTTAGATTTAATTCCAAGCCCCATTTCTCGTATTCCTTTATGCATTTTCGTATCAGGTACTCTAGGTCATAATAGTCCTGTGCAATTAATACCTGATCATCTGCAAAGCTTAAAATACATATATAGATTGTATTCATTGAGCGGTATTTCCACGTGCCTGCATTTGTTTTTCCACCGCTTAAGCGCTTGTTCTAAGTATATTTAAAAAATTGTTGGTGATATACAGCATCCCTGTTTAAGTCTTTTAGTTGCTATGAAGTCTTTACTGAGTCATCACGTTTCCCTGTTTAATCTTGGTCTTTGCATCACCATAGAGCGTTTTCACTGCCTTTATTAGTTCTAAGTTAATATTGGTCTTTTCCAGTGCTTCCCAAAGCCTTTTCAGCGGAACATTTGTAACGGTCTGAATGTGATTGTATTACATATTGCTATTTTTTTAGAGAGTAAATGTTGAATTAGATTAGTTGAAACAAATTTCGTTCAGCGAAATATTTTCAAATTAGGTTTATATCTAAAATTAGTTATAAATTAAATATACTGGTACACTATTTTAAATTTAGATACCCGAATGATGGGTTCTCCCCACTCACATATTTGCGTTCTTTGGTTCCTCGTCTATCTAGACACTGAATTTTAAAGGTCAGAACCACGCCAACTAGTGTTCAATGCATAAGCTCGTCGATGATATAAAACACATTTTGAGTTTCATAAAATCCTGGTAATTTTTGCGTTCCTTGGAGAAGGGATTTCTCATCTTCGGCATCCTAGAGTGATTTTGGTGATTTTGGCATTAAGGCTATTTTTCACTCTAACGACAAATTGTCGGATTCAAAGCATTCGTCCACGTTCACGATAGTCGAAAATCTTGACGCCATTTTGTGGGTAAGTTATATCATGGAATTCTTAGTCCCAACCATTTTAGGTTGTGGTATTCTGATGTAATTTCTGTAATATTTCCCGGGTATTTATGGGTTCTTTTCCGTTATTTATAGTCTGATAATCCCTCTACATATTCGGGGAGGTTTTCCATCTTCAACCC